CTCCTCTCACCTTTTAACTAATTTTAACAGTATTTAGTCACTCTTGCCTCCTCCTAAATTTTTAATTTTATTATATACTATTTTATATTGTTTATCTTTTTTTGGTATACCACCCAGGATCCCTCTAAGAAGGAGATGGGCAGTTCGGAAATGTGAAAAACAAACAAATAAATTAACATTTGATATTTTTCTCTTTGGGGAAATGTGAAGATTCTTTTTTGTACTTCCATTTCCATATTGCCTCTTATGTCTTCCCAGAACTCCCCAGGTAATCTTTTGCACATATTAACTGTTCTAAGTTTGTTCTATACAAATTTATGTAAAATGGTCTGATAAATAAATAAAATATTTATATTTAAAAAAACTTTCTGGTACACCTAGTCTTTATAATTTTCTACATTTAACTCACATATTTGACTTGGTAATTCCTTGAAATCATCACAATTATTATAAAATTTTCAATCTGCATCCTATTTCACCCTTCATTTTTTCTAACAATTAATTTCCACTTTGGGGCTGATGCTTATGTGATTATCCTTCTGCAATCACCTGGCAAGAAGGAAAAGGAATATACTTCTGCACATTAGCTTATCTCACCTTAGCAAATGAAGCCTAAAATGTGACCTGTATATCATGCAGACATTTACATTGAATCAGTCTGTTTTGCTGTTTGAAAACAATTACCTTATTAACATATATTTCTTTGGGAGAGATGTCATTTCATTCATTAGCAGCTTTTTTAGAAAAATCTCCAAGCTGCATGCTAGTGATAAAATATCACCTCAGCTTTCCAAAAGTGCACATAAACAATATTTTTCCTTATTATCTCCTTGCAAAATTATGCCCTTTACTGAAGTATCATTAAAGGTAATTAAATTATAAAAGCAGTAAAATATTTCAGGGAGCTACAGACATTATATACCGTAAATGCCGGCATACAAGGCGACCCGGCGTATAAGACGACCCTCTTCTTTATAGCTGGGCTGCATTCTTAGAACGTCGTCTTATACGCCGGAAACTACCAGTATTTCCGGCGTATAAGACAACTCGGCGTATAAGACGACCCCCATCTTTGGCGCCGATTTCAGTGCTCGCGGAAGTCGCCTTATACGCCGGCATTTACGGTACATGTTCTGTTTTGCAGGTGGTGGGAATGCCTTCTATCAATATCTCTTTTTAAATCCATGCCATTTAATGGAAGTGTCAAATTGTTTTCTTAGTTCTGAGCTTATCTCTGAAATTATCTCTGAAGAAACTGCCATCATAGTATTGCTATCAATCTCTCTCTTTTATCTATTTAAAACTAAGCATGCTAACATTTCCCCAACTAACACACAGTTGCGGAAGGGGCTCCATCCTACCTTCATATTTCCTAAAAAATTGAGGACATTTCCGCTTATGAACAGACAGCACGCCCTTATTGTGTTACATGATCCAGAACCAAATTGTATATGTATTTGGCAATTTGCATTAAAGTAACAACCATGAAGTCCAGAGAAAGTATTGCAAAATACGTCTTCTTCTTCTTTTTATGCCATATCCGTTATCGGATGGATGTACACAAAAGGAACTTGAAATGAAAATATCTCCCCCCCCTCTCTCTCTCTTTCTCTCTCTCTCTCTCTCTCTCTCACACACACACACACACACACACACACAAATCCACCATTAGTTGCCTTCCAAAAGTCTCATGAATAGGAGTGTCCACAGGGTGTGGTTAAAAAAAAGTCTAGAGGGTGACGAGCTCTGTTTGTTTTTATGTTGTTTTGTCATCTCCCCCTTCCTCCAGATAATATTGACCACACTTTCTAGACTCTTACTTGCTCAAAGAGCCATTTCCATTCTCTCCCTCTTACCTCCACATAATTCCTCTTGCATCTCTTCCTCTCTGGCCTTAAACCAAATCCAGATTGGCTGATTCTCAGCTTTTCAGTTCTGCCAGGCCCCACCTATTTCCAGGTATCTTTTACAAGTGTGTCGCTTTTTCTTGGTCTCAAACTCTTTTTCCATCCACTCACCATAATCAAAACACTCTGATCATTTATTTCCTTTTCATGGCATCCTTCTGCAAGTTTGTACCAGCTTCACTAATTTCCCCAACTTACTGCAATTCCTGTATGTTAGTAATTTTATGGGAGCATTGTTTGATGGTGCATACATGCCATTCTCTTTTAAAGAAAACAATGTCCTGCAAAGCACATACAAAAAGAATAAGAAGTAGTGAGGAAAAGAAATTAAAGATATCAGATGAGAAACAAAAACAAATAAATGTCAAGTACACTGATACTTTTCATGTTTCTATCCTTGTAACCAGTGGTGGGATTTAGCCAGTTTGCACCACTTCGGCAGAACCAGTAGCTAATTTTTTGTTGCCCAGGGCCAGAATGGACTTCCGGAAGTGACATCCACACAGAGAACCGGTTGTTCACATATTTGAATCCCACCACTGCTTGCAACCCATCCTTGCTTCCACCATGTCGCTACACTCACTTCACAGTTTTGATTGTAAACTTCTTAACTCTCTTTTCAAACATTTTTATTAGATACATACTCTATCAAACTATAACTATCTCATATGTCCACTTTCTCTCAACCTATTCATTCTTTGTCTATGAATTTGTTTTGTGATTTGATCCTTATTAATTCTCCGTATACGAACAAAGCATCTCAAAAACTGTCTGTGTTACTTTCCCCTTCCTTTTATTTTATCATTCAGTTCACATGCATTTAGGAGTCTAGCTCTTATTGTTTTGCCACACATCTTAAATAGCCTCTTTCTACCGTCTTCAATTTATTCCTCCTAATTCTCACTTACCCACAATAAACCTTTTATACAGGTTACAGTCATTTTCCCCTCAGTCAATAAGCATTCATTTCTCCTAACAAACATCTAATTTTCCACCAGTATTTGTACATCTAAATATTCTACAAATATTAGCCTACTCTAGTTTTTTTTAATCATAGTTTTATAACTTGCAATTGTTTGGTCCATTCTCAAATCAATGACACTCAGACTTCAATAGATTCAGTTTTCAAATCCATGTCTCTTTGCATGTTTTCTGAAAATCAGTTCCACACACACATTTATCTTCTTGACAAACATGCCTCTAAAATTGCCACAAATATTTCTTATGTATTTATCCATGAATATATTTAAAAACCAAGAAAACATTGCACATTCTTGTCTTCATCATCATTTTAGCCATTGTCTATTCACTGTAGGATATAGTCTTCATTCATTAACTGCCAAAATAGTAATGCTTTTAAATTTTTATTCCTTTGACATTGTAAGCATAAAAAGACTGATTAATACACACATTTGAAACTAATGTTTTCCTAACCATATATCGAAAACAATTCTCATTCATTCCTTGGTCTCTGAATGTCCCAATAATTCACTTGGTCCCATCTATTCATGTTACCAAACAGAATGACTTTTCTTTCTGGATAACATTCATTTAGAATGTTCTTTTTTAAAAAAAACAAAAAACCTTCATCTGTTGTTCTTCCATCCTCGCCATACATAACTATCACCAGCCCCTGAATGTTTAGTTTCATATGTACATAACAACAATTCTTATGACACAAGTTCCTACTTTCCCTATGTGAGCCTTATAATTTATAGTTTCGTATCCCTACAGTTTCATATCCCTTCATGGACTCTTCATATTGACTCCACAAGGTCAGTCTTCATTCAGATTTCTTATATCCTTCTCCATTCCCTTAGTTTCACAAACTTAACAGCTATGCATTTTTATTTATTTCATTTCATGTTATTTAGCACTTATATTCCAGATTGCAATCTTTTCTATGACCTGCCTCCAATATGGTTTTGGTGAATTGAAGCTTTCCCTGATGTATTTAAATGTATTTAAATAAGACAGAGAGGTTGTACTGTAACTTCTCAGCTTTAATTGTATTTCTGCCAAGTACAACATTTGCTTCCAACAGTAAGAACACTGGTCAATTCTGATACATTTTCAAGACTATTCTATAGTCCAAAACTCAATTTCAGCCCAACATGCAATTTTTTGTGACCTATAGTTTAATCCCTAATCTAGAGACTTCTTTCATGCCAACATGTTTGATGCATTCAACCAACTAGAAAGTAATTACAGTATATTGATAAATTTAAAACATCAATAAATAGCACAATATCAATCACAATATCAATACACCAAAGACTCCACAGTTCAACCCCAAGCTACATACATTTTCTTCTATTGTACCACATATAGACATCAAACACTTTAGAAAGCAGGCAAATGGGAGAAGCAAAGGAACAGCTGTTCTTTCTGAATGCCTATGAAAGCACGCTCTGTCAACCAGTATCAGTTAGAAAACCCTATCTTCACCAATACTGGCATGGAAAGCAACTGTATATGCACAGGGAGCAAATACCACATTCACTAGAATTGATGGTATTAGCTAGTTGGGTATTAAACCTTAGTAATTAAACAACCAAACTGAGAGACACAAAGCACCCACACATAAAATATATCTAAAAGTTCATAATAACATTAATGTAATTATTGACTGATTTAAACAGTCTATGAATATTTAGTGATGTTTTGAGCAACAATTTTCTTAATAATAAAATATAATGGACTTTTATTTATTTGCATTTAAGATATTAGAGCTGCCAGAGAACAGTTGATCAGTTGATCAAATCTGATGAGAGAAGGGTTTGTGATTGTAGATACCTGTAAAACCACTCAGTATACTTATCTTAAGAATAAATCTTCCTTAATTTAGAAGGATTTGCTCCCTAATAGACCCTAAAACTAATAGACATTAATTTTCAGTGGTGCATGAAGTTTTTCCCATTAAGCCAAATATCTATTTAAAAATAGAATAATTCCTTTCTAGGGTAACTTTTCTTTCATGTGACAAAATATCCTTTTTGAGGCCAGAAGATATAACATCCTTGAAGTGAATATATTTATTTGTTTTGTGCACTATGTATTTTTTATAACTAAATCTTGTTGATTACCTTTCAGGTTTTCCAGGGAAACTTTGACAATGATACTCACAGAAAGAACGTTATTGATCCTCCAATCTATGCACGGCACATAAGGATCCTCCCCTGGTCGTGGTATGGCAGAATCACTTTACGGTCAGAGCTTTTGGGCTGTACAGAAGAGGACTGATGCCTAAATCTGCACTTAATAGCACAACTCTTGATATTTCTATATATATATATATATATATTATATATAAAGTTCCATAGAAGAAACTGTAAAACCTGTAGGAAGTTGAATGGGCTTTTCATGAATAAGTGCTCACTTTCTGGTAGGCTGTTCTCTTTTGTAAGGAAGTCTAAGCCTGCCCTTAAAATGGTCCAATTCTGATGCATATTCTTATTTTTTTTCTTTTAGTCCCTTTTAAATCTGCTCCAGTTATTTCTCTGTTTTACTGTGAAATTTCAAGTTCTCTTTTGAGTTGTTCTCATTGGCTAAAATGTGATAAGAAATAAAAAAAATGTCATCATTTTTGCAAAGGAAATGAACATGGTTTTACAGAGTTCATTAGTAATCTGAAAACAAGCTGATGGAAGTCATTATTTCCAAACCCATGCGGTCATCTTACTTATTTACAAGTGATACTGTGGCTTTAGCAATAAGTTTTTCTCGAGAATGACTCCATTTGATTCCTTCCCTTGTGCCTATCACATACTGTCATGACAAATGATACTATTTTTGAAAACAAAAATCTGTGGTCTGCAGTCCTTCTGATGTCACATATTACATTTTGTAATTTCTTTAAAAGAGCTGAGTCCACACACTTTAGATTTCGTTTCCAGTTGTTTCACTTTTCATTGAGTATAATGGAAACATTTCATTGTCTTTTACATGTAATCCCATTAACTACTGCTGTTTATTTATGACCAAAGCTGAATTTTATAGAACAAAATCTGTCATTGTTATATCACGAAGTCTATGATTTTGTAAATTAATTCAGTTTACAGGGTTTTTTCTCCCTAAACAATGCTGGGCTGACAAGAACATGGACCAAATCCTAAGCTGATTCTCAGTAAAAGAAAGTTGCATAAATAACTTAATATGGCATTCATGTGCTCCTGTCTTTACTCCCTTTGGAGTTGGCTTGTTAATCTATGAAAGAGCTGCCCCAGCCCCTTGGGTCAATGGGCAAGGGAGTGTGATTTAAAAAAAAATCTAGAATTCATTCCAAAATGAACCAATGTATCTTAGTTCAGAAATGCAACTTCGCTATACCATTATCCATAAGCTACAGTTCAGAGGGACATATACAAGCAATGGGCTGGATGCTCTTATGATCTTTAAATGATTGCAACCTTCAGCTGTACAAAGTTATTTTGAGCACACAGGTTTGATAATAGAGCCAGGAACAGGCAAAGATAGAAGGAAAAGCAGGAGAAAGCAGAACAGTTTTACTGAATGCAAACATCAGACTTAATTTCAAATTGAGCATGTCTCTGGTTCTTAAGACTGTAAAGATGCTGTATAGCTTCTAATAACATCACATCACAGATAATAATGTAATTTCAATTATTTTTAAAACAAAGAATATTTCTTTCTCTACTAAAAGAGTTTAACTGCTGTGTGTATAGAAATTAGGCTACTAAAAGACGACTAACTAGCCCAAGACCCCTGCTACTGGAATTCAGCTTTCATTTACTCTGTGACCTAGGACAAGCTGCATTCCATTCTGCCAGAGCTTTCTAACAGTATGAAAGTAATAAAGTTATTGGGAGAGGATTAAGGTTTTCAAACTGATGGTCTAGATCACAGTAGTTCATAATGTTACTATCCTATCTACCTAGCTCCTTTCTCTCTCTTCTAACACATCAAAGGTACTTATGTGACAAGAATTAGCCATAATGCCAATTATCATGCACCTTGATTAAGAAATATTGCTTTCTGTACCTTGGATATCCTATCTGAAAATATACAACTAGGATTCAATGCACATCAGTCAATGCTAGAGAGCCATGAATCTCTAGTTTGTGCTCATCCTTAGCCAAACAAGATATGAGATCCTGTTGCCATGGGAAGGAGGGTACCAAGGTACTGCAAAAGGATGGTTGAGTGGCTTCTTGTTTCCACTTATGCCCAGCCATAGTGATAATTATATAAAAAAAGACTGTGAGAATTTGACAGATGACTTAATAAGTGGAATTTGAAATGAAACTCCAGTTTGTTCAGGGGGTTCTGCTAGACAGTGATCCTGGCCATGTTTGCAAAGCACTTTCATTTAAACAAAGTATTTGCTGAATGTATTTTTTTTTTTTACTTGAAACTCTATATCAGGGATATTCAAATTTGGCCCTTTTATGACTTGTGGACTTCAGCTCCCAGAATTCCTCAGCCAGGCACACTGGTTAAGGAATTCTGGGAGTTGAAGTCCACAAGTCATAAAAAGACCAAGTTTGAAGACCCCTGCTCTATATTAATCACCATCTCCATTCTTATTTTCATAAAAGGTATGTGGGATTGATGGGTTTTTTTAGCCTCATTAAAATAGTTCACACTAAACATTTTTATTAAATTGCATTTCTTTTTTTTCAAATCATGGTAATGTAAGCATGGCTTCTACAACCTTGATATATATAAAAAGAGCTACTCTATAATTGTAAAGAGTATAATTAGAAAAAAGGTTATAGCCAGCACTGGCTTCCTGCAGTGGAATGGATGGTGGGATAGATTATTATTTTTGAAACCAAAATCTCTTTCCCCATGGAAATCTCTAGAGCACATTTGGGAATACATGGGAGCATGGGAAAAAAAACAGTAAAGGGAGACAGATAGTATAGCACAAGCAGATGTAATGTTATATATATATCCCAAGTTCTTCACAGATTCTCCTAAAGATTTGCCACAAGTAGTTTGGGCTACATAAGTTTTTAATTTTCAGATGATATTTCTTAAAAATGTCTTTCCCAAAAAAGTGTACCCATAAAAAAGGACTTCTGTCTAGTCTTAAAATGATCAGAACTCACACATTTAATTTGTAAGGCTTAGACAAAGATACTCAGAGATGTTCAGTAGGGGAATCTAATCAAGGTAAAGCAAGTATCTGTAAGGAATGCCAAGGTTCTGTGTATGTTTATGACTTTTGTGTATGTGTGTTTGTTTTAGTTGGATTTGTGCTGCATTACAATCCCACTAGACTGTTACTGTCTTGTCTGTAACTGTGTTAACATTTCCTAACAATGTTATTTATGGAATTGTCTTTGATTGTAGTGAATAATTTTAAAGAGAAAGTCAATTCTGATTGTATTAAGGTGCAAAAGTCTGATGGAATAAAGGTAGTAACCAAGATGGCATTGAACTATATACAGCCCCTATTCTGCATTTTAGCTCTTATGAAAATGCTACAAATCACAACCAAGTGAATCTGTTCAATTCTAAATGCCTATACTAGAAGTTAAAGCTGCAGCAATAAACTTTAGCTTGTTGTAAGACTTTCATTTTATAGTGGATCTATACTTTAAAGCAGAGATTAGCTAAAGAGTGCTGCTGATATGCATTTCTTCAGCCTTTGAAAGCCACAAGGGAAAGTAACAATTATACTGAAATGCCAATCAGAGGGAAACATTAGATTTTAGATCTCTTTAAAAATTAGATCTATACAAGTGGGGGTAAATTAAACTCTATGGAAATTTTGTAAGCCTATAGTCTATGCTTGCTGAGGCAAAAAAATTAAAAAAGGTTAAATCCACCAAAAGGAGGCTCAGCGAGAAGCTGCAAGAATAGGGCTGGGAATTTGCTTGTGGCAGGTTGCCCATCCTGGTTAGCAACCTCATTCCTTCTTTCAGTGTTATTGGACCGAAGGTTGCACTTGTAGCCATAGGTTCATGCAATGCAAAATAAATTAATTTAGGTCTTGGCACTGAGAACAAATTCAGAACCCAATGCAGGGGTCTACATATGACTTTTTTTGAAATCAGGCAGATAAAATCTGGATTAACATCCCAAGCAGGTAACCCATGCCAACCAAATCACTGCTATTTTTTTATTATTATGTTTTTGTGCCAGGCACATAGCGACTGAATTGCAGAAATGATACATTTTGGCATATGTGGATTCCAGATCAACACCATACTAATACTAAGATTGTCTTTGATAGATCAAGGTAATAAACATATTTTTTACTCTGTAGAGAGTCATATGGAGGAAATTTGCCTGGATCTACCCTATCCCTTCAATAAGAAATGGTTTCTATATTGAGTTCCAATCTAACAAACTTCTCATACTCCTAGCACCATTTCATTGCGCTGCTAGTCATTATAGACTTATAAAATGTATTAGTGCTTTATTTTTTTAAAATGCAAGGAAGTGAATATTTATTTGGTTCACTATTAACATGGGTCATAATTTATAGTGCATAAAATGTCATCTTCAAATGTAGTGATTTATATTTATTGTTCTTTTTAAAATGATTGTGTTATTTATTCTTTGTTTATTTCTGTAAACTACTTAATTATATGATTCTGAAAAGTGTCTGTTTTTAGCAAATATGGGCACAATTTGTTGAAAAATAATTCTTGCAAGACCTACTTAAATGAATAAATGGATTACCCTGCTATAGCTATATTTGTGTCCTAGTACAGCTATAGAGAAAGTTGATCAGAATTATGTTAAATGGAAAATGGAAGCTTTCACTGATGCCAGTGGGAGATTCCTTTGAAGTAAAACTGTCTGCTTCTCATGAGTAATCTTTATTGGACCAAGGAAAGGAAGGAATTATTTTTAAATTCCCTTATCCTTCCATAATCCTGTTAATGCTACCTTACAGCTGCTATTTATACAGAAAAAAGTGTATAAAAACTGGTACACTCATATAATGAATATATTTAATTTGTTAGTCAATTAGACTTGCAAAGGATACATTTTCTCAGTGAATTGTGTTCTTTGGATCTTAAATAAGTTGACAACTAAATTGCACTTTTTAATTCTATGTGTCATTGTTTGAAATTTTCTACTGCTTTAGGATGTATTCTGTAGTAAGAATGAATGTGTACATCTATTCATAGTTGTTCAGTAAACAACACGGGTGAAACAGCCGTCACTGATCAAATACCTCCAAACAAGTCAATCCCATCAAATACAAAGCTTTTTCATACAGAAACTTCACACACTCAATTGCAAATCATCAGATGTTAATAATTGAGTACTTGAATAGTGTGTGATGTACATATGTGTTTAAGTCAGCCCTAGGTCTATAAACTGTATCTTATTAAAGAAACAGAATTCCATCATGCAGTTTCACATATATTACATTTGGCTGGCTGTGTTTTATAAACTGTTTGTGCTAAGTCAGTTCAGTAGCCAGTATTCCAGTCCAAGATAAATAGCTGGTGAATGATAACTGCAACTTTTGGCCTAAAATAGGACAGCAGATTCACAAAACTAGCTAAACTAGCCTAACGTGTATGTGCCTCACACAAAATGGTGAATTTAGAATTAAGTCATGCAATTACACCATATGTAGAGTGTTTTGTACAACCTTAGTCTTATGTGTATTTTTTAACATAAATTTGCTCTGTTCATGTGGCCTGTTTGCCCCTTCTGGTATGATCATACAGTACAAAATATCATTAAATGTCTCATCATTTTTAAGACATTTTGTGATGTGATTCATCAAAATATTAGAAGATAACAAACATAAAAGGACAAGTATAGACTCTCTACCTGGAATGGGAAAACCTATCTTTTTTCAGGATTCAGTAATCATGTTGCAGGATTTTGTACAGATAAATTTGTGTGCATATTCAGACCTTGGATAAATGAAACTACGAATGGGGGATAGCATCCGATCTTCCCTCTAGTTCTTCACTATATTCCAGAAAACATACTGTCCGTGTATGTGGAAGTCTGGGACTATTGTCCCACTTCACTTGTGATGCAAGCAAGAAAAAGAGAGAGAGAGAGAGAGAGAGAGAGAGAGAGAGAGAGAGAGAGAGAGAGAGAGAGAGAGAGAGAGAGAGAGAGAGAGAGAGAGAGAGAGAGATTGCCCACTTTCAATTTATGTTATCTGAAGCCAATGGAAATTTTCCAGAAGTTGGTACCTTGAGATTCACAACTAAATTTGATTTAAAATCAACAGGTTGTTTATTTTAGAGTAACATCTCCCAAGTCATTTCCTTTTGAGTGACTTATTACTTAAAATCAAATGTTAAGAAGAGAGTAAACTTGTTGGAACGATATGATAAAATTGTTTTTAACTTTTGTTTTATCTTTAACAGTAAAACAGAATATTATTTAATTTCCCCTCTATTTACCTAAAAATGATTTAATTATTTATTTCTAGATAGACTTCACCTTTCTATAGCTTTCCTAATTTGCTACTTTTATAGCCTGAGAATTAAAACATAATGCACAAGACTTAGGATAATCTACTTAATTGTATTAAGGGCTTGTCACAAAATCAACCGCAATGAATATATCCAGTTCTGATTTTTAGATTGACTTTCTCTTTTGGAATGAAGACATACAAATTCATGCAGTTTTGAAGACTAAGAATTCTAATGAGTGTACCTGTGTGTATACAATTTTCAAAACTGGCTTCTTATGTGTCAGTAAGTACAGAACTCTCTCAGATACCTTGACAATCTGTGTAAAGTTCCAATGTATTTTGTATATACTTAAATTACGTAGAATGATGTTAAAACAGTCTAGTCTTCAACCTTAACAATAAAACTTTTGAAAAATAAGCATGTTCTTGAAGTATTTTGAATACACACTGTATACCAGGAAAAGTACACTTATGTGCAAAATTCAAGTGTAAAAATTAAAAAGGCGCAGCCATCTGATGTTGGTGGGTGGGGGTAAAATCATTAACAATTCCACAAAAGCCTTTTTCAAGCTCAGTTCAGAACCATTCCAATCGAATATGTTATTTGAGACAAGGTTCAAGAAAAAGAGCTTCATTCTCCCACAGAATGGAGGAAAGTACAATCAATTGTAAGTTTTTCTATTTCAGCAGATGATAGGTTTTTGAGGTAGTCTAGAATATGAAAGGGTGAAAGCTGCTAATTTCATGGATATTCTAATTAAACTCTTTTATATATTAAACTGTCTGTTCCTTGAGAATAACATATGATAATGTATCCATTGATAATACTATTATGTTGGAACTGCCTAAGCAAAATTTCAGATGTACCATTAAAAAATTAGTCTTTTTGCCTTGGAAACCTGGATTTGACCAAATTTGATGATCCCGTGGTGAAAAACAGATTTTGTTTTGCTGTATGAACCATAGTATACCACAGCATGCTATGATAGCCCGATGGAGAACTCAAGATCAAAAATTACCTGAGAAACAGATTGCTTGCACAAGCAGTTTGTACATACATTTTTCATTTGTTTTATTCTTTCTTAAGCTCTTACACTCATCTCCAGTCATGTGAGTAGATTTCTGCTGATATAAATGAAACCTTTCCCTTTCATTTGTAGGAGCCATCTGGATTTGTAAGGGAAAATTTCAGAGGAGAGGCATCATGACAGGAAAGCTACACTTCTCGAGTCTCACAAGATGACATTTAGCTTATTTACTGGCTTTCCTACCAAAAACAAAACGCTAAAAACAGCTTTTCTGTCATGTTTACCTTGCTATAGTCTGCTTAGAACACTGAGTTCCACCTCCCTATGGCTCTTGTCTTTTCCCTGGGATTTGTTGTTTGTTTATTGGATTGCTGGTCTCAACCAGTGCCAAGCCTGGGACAATAGTTATGCTTGCTGCCTTAAGAGGCACACTTTGCTTCTTAAAATTCTGCCTGAGTTTTTTAGCACCAGACTGTGGCAAGCATCCAGGGTCATATCTTTTTGGCTGGCAGCCAATAGTCCTTTGTCCAGAAAACCCCAGTCCAGGAAAGGGTACAACTGGTACATTCTATGTATGTTGACCATCACTGTCACCTCTCTGACCAGCAGTTCTGAATCCAGGACTATCTCCAATTCCTTGCGGTCAATTAATAGTTGATAAAACAAAGACAACTTCAGAGGATAGCCCTCTCTAATAATATTGACCAAAACATTTAAGTCATCAATAAAATTTGATTGGCTTATTCATTGTGAATGCATACATTGTGAAGTTAAATAGTAGTTACAGTAGTATGGAGTTTGTTCCCGATAGTATGGAGTTTGTTCCTGATCCTTATGAAGACAAGGAATAATATCTTTCTATTACACATCAGAAAATATTAGTTTTATTAGTTTATTCAAAAAATGAACTACAGCACACTGGATACATCTCAAACAGGAAGGTACATTTGTCAAGTGTTTAACTTCACATGGCTAAGTAATGACTGATAAAGGTATGAGAACATTAACATCTCGATCAGGGCTCTTTTATTTCCTGTACGGAATGAGACAAAGAAGGTTCTCAATAAGGTGGAAGACAATACACTTAGTTGTCCTTTTTCCCCAATGAAGTTTATCTGAGTCATGTGTTTTGTAAGATGGGCAGCTATATAAATTTGAAAAATAAATATGTTTACCTAACTTTTTATTTTTTATGTATGTATTTATTCAAACTTATTATTTTATTTGTTTATTCCTTACTACAAATCCTGATGCTTGTTCCTTACAGATGTCTGCAGGAGGATGCCAAACAAGACAAATCAGTGGTCCTGGCAGCACAGTCAAAACCTTGTCCCTTTAGTGTATGTGTTAACAGTGAATTCTGGTTAAATGTAATGCCTATTTGCTGTGCGCACTATAATTCTACAGTTGCCTAGAAATGCATCGGTGGGTTTAGTAAAAGCCTATTGCCAAGTCAATAAATTAAGCATTTTGGTTTTAGTTAAACCATTACAACAGTGAAGACTCCATAGGTTAAATGAAGGATAGGAAGAAAGGAAGTAAAGGACAGAGTGCTGCCTCTAATTCCCCTCAATCTGTCTCTAGAAATGAACTTCAAACTGCATATTATTATTTTATTTATTTACATCCCATGTTTATTATGTTTATAAATACTTCAAAGTGACAAGCATACCTAATACTTTTCCTTCTTTCTATTTTCACCCCAACAACAACCCTGTGAGGTGGGTTGGGCTGAGAGAGAATGACTGATCCAAAGTCACTCAAGTGGCTTTCATGCCTAAGGCAGGATTAGAACTTACATTCTCCTGGTTTCTATCCTGGTGCCTTAACCACTAGGCCAGGGGTAGGCAACCTTGGCTCTTTTATGGCTCGTGGACTTCAACTCCCATGGCTGGCTCAGGAATTCTTGGAGTTGGCCCACGAGTCATAAAAGAGCCAAGGTTGCCTACCCCTGCACCAGACCATATTGGCTTTCTGGCTCTTCATTCAATGTAATAAATAATTGGCTAGACTGACATTTTAAACATTTTCCCATAACATTTAATAATATAATTCTGTCTAATCTTACAGTAAGCTTTTTTATGCAGCATTTATATAACGAATCTAATATTTTGTCTCTTCCACACCCACATTCCATTCATTTTGCAATATTGCAGTGTTTTTATGAATAAGGTTTCTGATGTCTCATATGCAATGCATTTATTATTTTCTAGCCTTTAATATTAAGCTTGTTCAAATATTTCATGATACACAGGTATTGCATATTGGTACAGTTATTTCCCAACAATATAATTTTATCAAAAACAGCTTACAGTGTAAGAAGATGGGAAGTCTTGTTCTTTTAAAAACTGATACATTTTTATCTGAAAGTATATATCAGAAAATAGAACAATATATTCATTTTTTAAATCTTCCTTTGACTACATAACCAAATCAGCACCCACAAGAAAAATACATAAACATGTTTTAAATTGATTAGACTGACATTTTAAACATTTTCTCTCAACATTCAAGAATTGTTAGAATAAGATCTCCAAACTATATTGATTCATCAAACATTATATTATATATAATTTCCATTTGTTGCCACTATTTAATAAACATATCCCAACATACAGTAGGTAGCAACATAAAACATCTAATAATAAAACATAAATATCTTGACAAATGGCAGTGTATCAGAATATTACATTCAACCCCAAAACAATCAACTAATGATCAACTAATATCTCAAGATCAGTATTAGGTGGACTGCATCCTTGCAGTCATACATTGCACTAATTGGAATTGGAATATATTGGAATTCCCATTCTTATAGGCATGATCATGTAGAAAATATAATAACCATGATGAAAAATTACCTGATCATGGATTATTATTGCCAAGGCATCTCTGATCGAACCTGTTGACAAAAAAAAAAAAAAAAACAGAAGAAGGCATGCAGAATATGACTTCCTGAATTCTTTGCAGATACTTTACCAGCAATGGATGTATCTAAGGTGAAGTGATGTGTTATATACATACAGCTATATATGTTACACTTTCTCTCCAAGTTGTAATCAAGGTCAGTATATATGTGTGGCCTCTGTGTACATGTTTGTGCTCTCTTCTCCTGTTGTATCTGTATGTTTTTGAATGTATATACTTAGGAGCATTGGAAAGCCTTGATATACAAGGAGTCCTCAATTTACAACCACAGTTAAGCTCCAAATTTCTGTTTCTAAGTGAGACATAAGTGAGTTTTGTCCCATTTTATTACCTTTCTTGCCTCATTTGTTAAGTGAATCACTGCAATTGTTAAATTAGTAACACAGTTTTTAAGTGAATTTGACTTTTCCACTGATTTTGCTTGTCAGCATTATAAAAGGTGATCACATGACCCCAGGATATTGCAACTGTAATAAATAGGAGTCAGTTGCCAAGTGTATGAATTTTGATCACATGGCCATGGGGATACTGCAAAAGTCATTTTTTCAGTGCAGTTGTAATTTTAAGTGATCACTAAATGAACTGTTGTAAGTCAACTACCTGTTCTCTGCTCTAAACCACATGACTGGAAATGGGGGGGGGCTAGAATGGAGTAGTTGCCAACATTCCAAACTGACGCCCAACTATCAGTAAGGTTCTATATTTAAGCAAGAAAAACCAAATGCACAAGTACAGTATAGGTGATATCTTGCTCAATAGTATTAACTGTGAGAGGGATCTCGGAGTCCTAGTGGACAGTCACTTAAATATGAGCCAGCAGTGTGCTGCAGCTGCCAAAAAAGCCAAAACAGAGGGATAGAATCAAGATCACGTGAAGTGTTAATGCCACTTTACAATGCCTTGGTAAGGCCACACTTGGAATACTGCATCCAGTTTTGATCACCACAATGTAAAAAAGATGTTGAGATTCTAGGAAGAGTACAGAGAAGAGCAACAAAGATGATTAGGGGACTGGAGGATAAAACATATAAGGAAAGGTTGCTGGAATTGGGTATGTCTAGTTTAATGAAGAGAAGGACAAGGGGTGACATGATAACAGTGTTCCAATATCTCAGGGGCTGCCACAAAGAAGAGGGAGTCAAGCTATTCTCCAAAGCTCCTGAAGGCAGGACAAGAAGCAATGGATGGAAACTAACCAAAGAGAGAAACAATCTAGAACTAAGGAGAAATGTCCTGACAGTTAGAACAATTAATCAGTGGAACAACCTGCCTCCAGAAGCTATGAATGCTCCAACACTGGAAGTTTTTAAGAGGAGACTGGACAGTCATTTGTCTGAAATGGTATAGGGTTTCTTGCCTGAGCAGGCAGTTGGACTAGAGGACCTCCAAGGTCCCTTCCAACTTTTATTATTATTATTATTATTATTATTATTATTATTATTATTATTATTATTATTATCAT